TTTATGTTCATTAATAAAGTTTTAGATTTTAGCCCGCTGGCCCGCCAGCCCGCCCAGTTCACACTGCTAGCCCGCTACACTGCTAGCCCGCCCACTTCACACTGCCAGGTATTGTATCATAACGTTTTTATGTTCAATCAATAAAGTTTTAGATTTTAGCCCGCTGGCCCGCCAGCCCGCCCAGTTCACACTGCTAGCCCGCTGGACTTCTAGCCCGCCCAGTTCACACTGTTAACCCGCTAGGCTGCTAGCCCGCCCAGTTCACACTGTTAGCCCGCTAGACTGCTAGCCCGCTCAGTTCATACTGTTAGCCCGCTAGACTGCTAGCCCGTTAGCCCGCGTACTTCACGGACATCTTATGTTAAGACTCCTTTAATGATTAAGTAGCATATGAAATGAGCATTATCATAATATCATTGCAGTTTAAAGCATGCGTATTAGATATGATAGTATTTTATCAGAAAATTGAATTTGATTAATTTCTGACTAAAGATAAAGTGTTAAAATAAAGGGGCTTAACTTAGTTCTAAAGTTGGTCTTACGTCCTAGGACTTAGGATTAACTTACTAAGTTACTAAAAAGGCTAGGATATGAACGGTTTTTGATGAATTTAAATATAGGATTCCATCTTCAAGTATGACAAGAGTTTTTTAATAAACAAATGATGTTAAGTATTTAACCTAGCGCCCTCATTCAAGGACATAAAAATATGTAAAAATAATTTGCTAAAATTTTGAAGAATCAATACAAACTACGCATCTGCTATCTGCAATGCCCGTGAAGGAAGTCTTTTAAATAATAGAAATAAATATTGTCATTATTATTATTATCATTATCATTATTATGATTATTATACTATTATTATCATTATTATTATGATTATTATTATTATTTACAGAGTTATCAATCTGAAGTCGGAATCACCTTTACTTTTAGTTTCCGCTCAATAACTTGAGTAAGCTTTGGCATATTTACACCGCACATGATGTGTTAGTAGCTTATATCAAGAGGCAGCTGCTTTTGATTGCTACCCAGGTGTCTGTGATCAAGGTCAAGGTCAATGTTGCAGAAAACAAATTCAGCTTCTGCTCAATAACTTAAGGACCGCTTCCGTGGTCGAGGGGTTAGAGTCGTTGACTTCTAATCCAGTTACCTCTCTGGCATGGATTCGATCTCCGGGTCCGGGAGATGCTTTGGTAGTTTAGCACGGAATAAGGTAGTCTAGTACTGGTGTTACTCTCCAGGAATGATGGTTAGGAAACTACCCGCCTTTACACCTGAAATACTGTTGGGAAAAGGCGTAAAATGAAACAAACAAACAAACAATAACTTAGGTTTGATTTGGGCTATTGACACCAAAGATTGTGTATGGGTAGTTTATATCAAGATGCAGCTTGGAATTGCTACCAAGATATAAGTTAAAATGCTACCGTGCTCTTTTTCAGATCAGGGTCTTTCAAATTGTCTAAGAATAAATATATTCTAATTGAAACACCCTGTCGAGATGTACAGATATGTTATGGGGATTTAAATATCAAACAATAATAAAATTAAACTACCATCAGATGGTATACTTAATATACCGTGTCTGGGGTTTTCACATTTTGCAAGTTGTCTCCATTACTTTCGAGGAATATTCCCTTCTCCAGATTGTTTTAAATGTTTGTTGATATAATATATATACATGTATATAATAAACTTGGTTCAAACATATTCATTTCAGCTCAATTTAGCGAAACAAGACTTGTTCTTGCAACTTAAATTAATCACTTGCGAAACCAAACAGAACTGGTGTCATATATAAAGAAACATGGTCGTGTTCGATTACGGCTCGAACCCATGATCCCCCGGTTGAGAGGCAGATACCTTAACCACTAGGCCCCTTCATATATAATTAAGTTTACACCGCTGTGTCTTCTCTGCGACGTGCACGCACCGCTGTGTCTTCTCTACAACGTGCACGCACCGCTGTGTCTTCTCTACGACGTGCACGGACCGCTGCGCCTTCTGTACGACGTGCACGCACCGCTGTGTCTTCTCTACGACGTGCATGCACCGCTGTTTCTTTTCTACGACGTGCACGCACCGCTGTGCCTTCTCTACGACGTGCACGTACCGCTGTGTCTTCTCTACGACTTGCGCGCACCGCTGTGTCTTCTCTACGACGTGCACGCACCGCTGTGTCTTCTCTACGACGTGCACGCACCGCTGTGTCTTCTCTACGACGTACATGCACCGCTGTGCCTTCTCTACCACGTGCACGCACCGAGGGTTTTGAGAAATAAAATAAAATGGGCATTTAAACGCAACAAATACTTTATAACATCCCGCGCCTTTGATTCTATTAATTATTACACATTCCGTAAATACTATGAATCTTACCTGTTTTATTTAAATATCCCTTGTAAAATACTTTATAATTGTGGTAAAATCAAAAACTAATTCAATAATGTCAGTTATATATCAGCCCTTAAGGGATGAACGTGTGGTCTAATAAACCTACTAGCATCAGTGAGTACTTAAAATGCTCAACTGAGCATCTATAAAATAATCTTAATCGTATTTTTGTTCAATAGGATAACAGTTTTTCAAGGTCAGACTCCTGTATTAATTTTCCCATAGAATCAATTAATGATAAGATATGACCACTAAACCTACCTTAAAATTAAGTATTCATGCTTAAGATGTCCTTTTTTCTTGAAGAATGACATATGCCTGACATTTTACAAAAGTTTCCGTAAAATGCCCACAATTAAAGATGATAACCCCCATATTCAGATTACAGGACTGACATACCTTTTTAATTATGAAAATATTTTAAAAAAAAGATATTATCCAAAATACTTATGACTTAAGAAAACAATGCAGTGTTATTTCACAAATAATGTGTATACTTAAACATTACATTTTCATCCAATCACCTGCTGTCCCATTGAATCTTACGGTTTTCCCCAACCGCTGGCTATGTTACAATACAGTAATCTGACCTAAATTCGTTTCTAGCTCTATCTTTTAGTAAAACGCGATTGACTGATGTTATAGTTATATAAAATAGTTTCATTTTTAAGAATTTACCAACCGAAATTGATCGAACAAATTGTAAATGAATGCTTCTGGACAGTTGCCTGTGCACAAGAGATATTTACCTGTAAGATAAACACTCATGCAGTTGGCTACGCCTCTGCAAAACTGAAAGTTTGATACATACAGCTACTAACAAATTATCAAATTAACTTATATCTTCATCGGGAAAGATATAAATGTTTACCATGTGCAAAAGCATGTCATTTTATTGATTTAATGTGTCAAGGTCATTTTCACGCATACTGGTTACTTCAATTGACACCGTTTTCCGGTACGTTACGGATTTATCTCTGGGGAATTAAACCGAATGAAGTACATAACACAGTTACATGATATTTCTATTTTTCTATCATTATTTTATCGTTTAAGGTGAAAAAAATTTGTTTTTGAAAATTATCAATATTCCTTTAATATTTTTTGTAAATTTTTCAAAAAATAAATTGTTTATAATGAAAATCAATAAAATTAAAACAGACGTATCTCAGATTATAGAATCTTCCATGATAATAAATAAGGTTATTTTCTATTTTCTTTATTTTTTGTATGGAATTATTCATATGAAATGATATTTAATTATTTTCTTATAAAGAAATAACTGTTTTATTTCAATTTAATTTTAAAAAAAGGCCGAAAACATCGAGTTCGCTATTACACTCCATTAGGTGAATTCCCCAGAGCTGTGTACAGAAAGTACCGGAAAACGGCGTTTAGCTAGGTTTTCAAATTCGTGATTGTTGGATGTATACTCCACAGGTAAACGTTGCGTGGCCATGACTTACACTATACCCCCGTTCCCCCTCTACAACCCAAAACCCTAAAAAAAAATTATGAAAAAAAAAAATAAATTTTATGACTAAAATATTATAAAGGTATTTTACTCTACTTTCATTTTGCATAGAAATATCACTAGCATCTCAATTATCAGCGCATATATTCATCAATTTTTCACCAATCTTAATAATCTTGGTCTCAAAACTTAGATAAATAAATACTCTTTAAGAAAACAACACTGGCACCTTCGCTGATTATACGTAGCAAGAAATATCCAAGCCCAAACTGTCAACAAATGAAACTCGGAAGAGATCTGATTGCACCGTTTCGGTAAAACTCTCACGAGTAAAACACACTAAATTCACCGTGAAAGAATATTTCTTTGTATTGCGTATTTAAATATGATAAAATTAAGTTATTATTTATAATAATTGTTCAATCAAAGCATCTTATGAAACTATAACGCACCTTTTTTCCTATATGTCAAATTCTCATTCCAAAATGAAAGTAAAATGGGCCTGCAGATTGTTTTCACATGGAGTATTTTCATTGGTCACAGGAAAACCTCGGACCAATGAAAATACTTAAAGGGAAACAACTCTGCTGTGCCAATTTACTTTCATTTTGGATTGAGAATTTGACATATAGGAAAAAAGGTGCGTTATAGTTTCATATGATGCTTTGATTGAACAATTATTACAAATAATAACTTAATTTTATCATATTTAAATACGCAATACAAAGAAATATTCTTTCACGGTGAATTTAGTGTGTTTTACTCGTGAGAGTTTTACCGAAACGGTGCAATCAGATCTCTTCCGAGTTTCATTTGTTGACAGTTTGGGCTTGGATATTTCTTGCTACGTATAATCAGCGAAGGTGCCAGTGTTGTTTTCTTAAAGAGTATTTATTTATCTAAGATTTGAGACCAAGATTGTTAAGATTGGTGAAAAATTGATGAATATATGCGCTGATAATTGAGATGCTAGTGATATTTCTATGCAAAATGAAAGTAGAGTAAAATACCTTTATAATATTTTAGTCATAAAAACAATTTTTTTTTTTCATAATTTTTTTTTAGGGTTTGGGTTGTAGAAGGGGAACGGGGGTATAGTGTAAGTCATGGCCACGCAACGTTTACCTGTGGTATACTCATGCATAGAGTTTAAAAAATAAAACATACATGTTAATGATGAGATAAATTTTCTGTGATACAACCCAGCATTAACGGGATAATAGCTGTATCAAGGTGTTGAAGAAAAACGTTAAAAGGTTATAGTTATAGTAATAATACTGTATGGAATATGCGCTGCGTATATAAGTATACTGTATGGAATATGCGCTGCGTGTTTTGCTTTTTCAACGGAACTTGAAGTACTGTTGTGGTGTATGAACGTACCTTAATTATTATACATGAAGATACTCAATTGTTTTGTTTCAATTCAGATGTACAACACCAGGGCCTGTTTGTCGTTAATTGTGTTACTGATTCAGTTTTTGGTCGTGAATGGTAAGTCCAAAATCTATGAAGTAGTATTTCCAAAAAAGTTAAACTTAAAGTATTCTTCGATTTTCAGTCTCAAACGGTATAGAAAATATTGTATGTATACAATAATAAAATGTAAAATATAGATTAAAAAATATTAAAATATTAATAAATGGACTGATTTTATCAATGCTTAATGAAAATTATTTCGCACAATTATTGAAATTTTAAACTGATAAAGCATGATCGGTTTTATTAACGGGGAGATTTGTTATCATTAAGTGTTTTTGTTTTTGTTTTGTTTTGCCTGTTGGTCATTTATCATAATTTAGCGAGTTCTCAGAAAATTGGAAAACCAAGCTCTAAAGAATATATATAAATTCCATTCAACATTTTTACGTGTAGATTTTTTCTGAAGATATTTCTGCTATGTAAACATGTATATTTAATTTTGTTTAAAACAGTTTATCCTCAACACTATAATATCAATTTTTGTTAATTTGAAATATCATTCTAGAATAATTACTAAAGTAGCGTGACATTGTTTTTTTAAATTTGTTTTAATTCATTGTAAATTAGTATCTAAGTATATGTTAGTGTTCATCCGTGCTGTTCTACAGAAATTAGAAACTTCGACGGGAGCGATAGCGACAAAAAAATGTTTCTAATTATGTAGAACAGCACGGATGAATACTTACATATTTAGTGTCAAGCTTTATTTGGCCTCATTATCGTTTACTTTACTACGTCACTATGCGGTTTTATGAAGTACTATGAAAAATAGAAGTCGACTATGGACTGAATTCGATATAGTATCGACTTTTGTACTTCTATGAAAATTAACATACACAATTTTTAAGAAATACAGCGTTTTCATTGGATGACAAATAAAGTTGGACACTAAAATGTAGTAGAACAGCTCGGATAAACACTAACATATACTTGTTTATGCATTTCTTGCAATGTATTATCACACTATGTATAATTATGATTATGTACTATGTACAACTCAAAATAAAATAATGTTCCCTTCTGTTCTGAAAAAAAATAAGATTTTGGTAAAAAAAAAGAAGTTTTGGCTTTCATCAGGCATTGTTAATCAATTTATTAATCATTTTTTGCTCACTGGGAATTCACATATTATTTGAAACTGCATTAAGTATTGTAAAACATTCAATTCTACATATATTTCTTTAAAAAAGGATGCTTGATTAAGGCACATTATGCCTCAAAATTGCTGTCATTTTTATTTTCTCATTTTATTAATTGGTTTAATTTTAGCGAATTAGTATTTTGTATTGAAGTCAAAATACTACTTTGTTTACATTTTGCTTCCTTTATGATACATTATTATTACACGTTAAGCGCAACTTCCTTTAGTTATGTTATTGCTCTAAATCCCAACACTTGTTTGACATTTCGTTAGATTCCAATATGAGTAAACATATGAATTTTTGAGGCATAATGTGCCTTTAATAAAATAAAGAACTGTACAATAATAATCAGTGTTAGATCTACATTTTATAAGTATGTATTATGTTGTTTACAGAATTTTTGTTTAACTGTTCGGTAGGAAACGCACCATCATATTTAATAGAGCTTTTGTCTCATCAAGTGTCAAAACGAACCTTAAGATCATCTGAATCCTCAGTTGGTTGTTATGTTGTTCCTTTTAATAAGAAGAGGACTTTTTCTGACAGAGCTTTTAGCACGATAGGACCAAAATTGTGGAATGAACTACCTATTAATATGAGAAAATGTGAATCTGTTGAAATTTTCAAAAGACAACTGAAATCATTTTACTTCAAGGACTTTTTTGCACTTTTTTAAGTGACGCTGAAGGCATTGTCTGTTCCTAATTGTTTTGTGCATGTTTGTATATTTCTAGTGTTTTTATTATTTTCATTGTATAATAATATAATAAAGTCTAGCCCATGTGTTATCATGTGCAGGGGTACAGGGGTGTAGATTGTTACATGTTGGTGGGGATTGACCCAATCACTGTGACCGTCGCACTGCTGGGAGTATTGTGTATGGTAGCACTGGGAGTAGCACATATAAGGTATATAGCTGTACAACGCCATTGAATATGTATTTTATATGTAGAAATAGGCGTTAAATCAAGTTTTCAAGTTTCAAGTTTCAAGAATTTTTGTTTATAAAATCAGGGAATATTTTAGATACTCTTATTTACTCGGTAACTTTGTAGTTGAACTAATTTGAAATTTTCTTTCTATATATGAGCCGTGTCATGACAAAACCAACATAATGGGTTTGCGACCAGATTGGATCCAGACCAGCCTGTGCATCCGCGCAGTCTGATCAGGATCCATGCTGTTCGCTTACAGACCCTATAACAAGTATAGAAATTGATAGCGTATGAAAAACAAAGTTTACATAGTGTCAAAATATCGTTCTAAATACACGTAACCTTTAACCATTTCTAAATTAAGGCGGAAGTTTGCCGTGGCCGGATTTCGAGAGCGGATGGTTACCAATTAAAAATGGCCTTGAACATGTTGCTCGGCTCAATATTGACCATGGTCTAGGCGAAATACCAGTTCTTGTAGACGTCTCTGTGAAAATAAAAGAACGTATATTCCCAGCGTCAGGTAATATATATGGTTAATTTATCTAATTTATTTGTTGTTGTTTTTTTTTTAGTTGACGAGGGACTGTGAATATTATTACTCTTTATTTCACACCTTTTAGAAATATAACTGTTTCGTTTTCAGCGTTTATACCGATGAAGTTAATAGGAATCATTGTTTCATCCAATGTTATCAATTTTGCCTCGTCTCCAACAAATCCATCTTAAATTATTATCGTAAACGATATAGCCTCGTTTTCATTTGAATAGTAAAAAATCTGTCAAAAAATGTCAAAATGTCAAAAAATGGCGGTGTGAAGTAAGAGCCCATTATACGTTGTTGAGAACAATACTTATTTCATTGGGCTCGTACACAGCGCAACATCTATATCAGACTCGGCTAGTGCCTCGTCCAATATTAGTTTGACAGCTCGTCCAATTATTCAATATTGTACTCAACAATGTATTACATCTCACATTATTATGTATACACAGTTATTTGTTAAACGTCAGGTCCACGCAGTATCGAATACTTCCATTGATCATTTATGAGACGAACGCAACAGATAATTGTTCAGGGTCACATAACGAGACCAAAAGCATTGGAAAATATATCAATTTTGTAACTTTTACTTTTAACCTTTCCAATATTTACACGTGACAGAACTTCTGATAATTATCAAAATTATCTTCTGCAAATTATGGTATCAAATTTTCTTATATTTTTCTCATGCAAGCGATTTTGTTTTGTTTTGTTGTTTTAGAAGCGTTAGATTGAATTATGTGGGAAAGGGGTTCAGGTTGGGATGTACAAAGAATAAAATATTTCAACTTGTAAATAAACTGAAGTTTATTGAACTAGACATATTAGTTTTTCCCCTTCTCTATGTGATTAAGAATGCCATGATGAAATTAGTTATATATTATTGGAACTTCTATTTTATTTTATATATCTAGGTTTTCGGCCTGACCACCCAAAGGAGCGTTCAGGACCAGTGGTATATATTTATGACGCCATGTATGTAAATGTGTCGACATCTCCAGTTGAAGATCCACTGTATAGACTAATTCCGAAAAGTAAGTGATATATCATATTCTATCATATACACCGTGTTTCATGATAAAATATGTGCTTAAAATAGATGTACGTGAGTACGTATAAAGTTTGTTAACAGACGATAGCCATAATGTAAAATAGAGATAATTTAATATTGCCATCTATTTGGCTTAAATTTATCGCCATGTTTTAGCCAAGATATAATTTTTGCGATAAAATTTGCAAAGGCACATGGTTCTTTTGTTGATACTAAAGATTGATCTATGTTTTCTGGAAATTATTGGCATGGCAGATATCTAGCTTCATTACAAAATATATCGAATTTGTTGAATATAAAAATAGGCCTACTTAATATTCACTTGTTCACTGAATTCAAATTGACTGAATATTAAATCTACATTCATTCAATATTCACTATTTCTTTCCAGTTAACAGACGATATGCAGGTGATTACGTAAACATATATGGAGATGCGCAAGTGCGCGTGCGAGCTTGGAAACAATCGTCACTTCCGGTGGCAAACTTTCACCAATCAGGGATAAAAATGAAAGCGAACACTTCAAAAGGTAAAGCAGTAAGTCACAGATGACACAACAAATAAAACACAAGTTTATAAAGTAATGTCTAACTATTCTTGGGCGGTTTTGAAGCAACTCCACAATAGTTTAAACTGCTCAATAACGGAACAAGGAAGTGGAAAGATTCTGGTTGACCTTAAAAGTGTTCCTCTTACTCCAAACTGTCTGAATACATAAAATTGGAAATTCTTGATTGGTCATGTGATGCACTTAAAATTGAAAACCCTGCTAAAATAGTAAACAAAGTTATCACATAAACCGCGGCGCAGGAGTGTAATAAAGCCATTCAATAAAAACGATATTACACTAGTTTAATAACACTTTGACGTGACGTCATTTGCGCTATATATAGAGAATAACATGCTACTGTCTTTTGATATCAATTTTATCAGGCGATGCTGATATGGGCTAGAAAGGGCGAGGCTTGCCTGATAAAATTGATATCAAAAGACAGTAGCATGTTTTTCTATTTATCATGTAACACATAATAACTGTCAAAATAACAAAATAATCTACTTTTAAATAGCGAATTTCGTTAAAAAAGGGGAATTTTTGTTCAAAGAAATAATTCTTGAAAACAAATTCCTCCGCCCCTGACACTTAGAATTTGTAATTGGCGGCCATTTTTTCTTTCGACTCGGATAAAAGATACAACAGAATGTAGGCCTAATACGATAACATTCTTACCTTTAATTTAAACATCGATCCAAAAATCCGCTTAGAATCACATAAACTAAACTTTACTGCAATTTTTGTCTTGAATTGTCAAATTCAAAAGTTCACGATAATTTCAATCAAAGAAAAGTCAAATCGGCAATCAAACACAAGCTACACAAACATGCGTCTTATTTTTTAAACGAAACAATTTGTTCACTTATTAAATAATAATCCGGCGAAATAAAGTAAACATTTACAAGTTCTCAAAGAAAATCGTCAGCCTGTTTGTTATGATTACATGTATAGTATGACGTGAACATCGATGATGTCATTTGCAATATAAATTATGACGTCACTTCATTTAGTTGGTGCTAAAACTATTCGCTATCTAATTTATTCGTAATTGAAATCGAAATAATAAATAAATAAATTTCGCATATATTCAAGACTTGTAAGGGTATGAGATTACATTGTAGAATTCACATGCTGATGAAAAAGCTCGAATATAAGCAATTGAATAAAGTCCGTTAAAATGGGCGGGGCTAATTTTTGATATCAGGTTACTGACGTGATATCAAAAATAATTATCAGGCAAGTGTTATCGGGCAGTTACCATAGCAGTTGCATGATAAATAGAGAATAACATGCTACTGTCTTTTGATATCAATTTTATCAGGCGAGGTTGATATGGGCTAGAAAGGGCGAGGCTTGCCGAGCCCTTTCTGCCCATATCAGCCGAGCCTGATAAAATTGATATCAAAAGACAGTAGCATGTTTTTCTATTTATCATGTAACACATTATAACTGTCAAAATAACAAAATAATCTACTTTTAAATAGCGAATTTCGTTAAAAAGGGGTATTTTTGTTCAAAGAAATAATTCTTAAAAACAAATTCCTCCGCCCCTGAAACTTAGAATTTGTAATTGGCGGCCATTTTTTCTTTCGACTCGGATAAAAGATACAACAGAATGCAGGCCTAATTCGATAACATTCTTACCTTTAATTTAAACATCGATCCAAAAATCCGCTGAGAATCACATAAACTAAACTTTACAGCAATTTTTGTCTTGAATTGTCAAATTCAAAAGTTCACGATAATTTCAATCAAAGAAAAGTCTTGAATCGGCAATCAAACACAAGCTACACAAACATGCGTCTTATTTTTTAAACGAAACAATTTGTTCACGTATTAAATAATAATCATGCGGAATAAAGTAAACATTTACAAGTTCTCAAAGAAAATCGTCTAGCCTGTTTGTTATGATTACATGTATAGTATGACGTGAACATCGATGATGTCATTTGCAATATAAATTATGACGTCACTTCATTTAGTTGGTGCTAAAACTATTCGCTATCTAATTTATTCGTAACTGAAATCGAAATAATAAATAAATAAATATCGCATCTTGATTCAAGACTTGTAAGGGTATGAGATGAGATTACATTGTAGAATTCACATGCTAATAAAAAAATGAGAATATAAGCAATTGAAAAAAAGTCCGTTAAAATGGGCGGGGCTTATTTTTGATATCAGGTTACTGACCTGATATCAAAAATAATTATCAGGCAAGTGTTATCGGGCAGTTACCATAGCAGTTGCATGATAAAGAAACATATCGTTAAAGCGCGCTAATGTTAGCGTTACACTATAGGCGCGTCATTGAAAAAATACTTATTTTTAACAGTTTACTGTTCTTGTTTTATATATGTGATCAATAGAATATTATATTCGTGTAGATTCAATACTAAATTTATTGAACTCGTTGAATAAAACAATATCAGTCAACTCGTTCAATAAATTAAGTATGAAACTACACTCATTCAATATCCTCTATATACTGAGAATAACTAGAAAATCAATTTGTTTTGCACGATTTGAAGCCCGGTTTGAGTAAAAGGATATACAACGCTTTTTTTAAAAAAGGTCACTTGTGGGCTAATTGTTCTAGGAAACGGAGTTAGGAAATTATTTAGTATTTTGTACAGAAATTATAAGTCCAGACATACATTCAATAGTACACAAGTGTCGATAAGATAATTCCTGTTTCTTCATGTCAAAAACAAACAAACTCTGTTGAGTCCCTTTAAGATTTAAGATACTGTTTTGACTGTAATTGTCCTTTTACTGTCACACAGTTTTTACTGCCCGCGAATAATACAATCAGCATTTGTATTAAATTTGCATTATCATTTTTATTACCAATACATATTTTATTATCATAACAATCAGGACGTGATTGGAATACGTTACAGAAATTTTCATCGATAAATGGTTCTAAAACTAAATTTAGTGCATATTTTAGGTACAAACGTAAAACATTTTTCCAACCATCTTTTCAATTCCTACGCCGAAGTGAGTCTTAATCTTGGTGAAATGCCATGCCTTGTTATAGTTAGTATCAAAATGCATCATGGAAACAACTTGATAATGGCTGACGGCTTTGGTAAGTCACATTACTTGTCTATTTATAGTTTCAGATTCCTACGCCGAAGTGAGTCATAATATTGGTGAAATGCCATGTCTTGTTATAGTTCGTATCAAAATGCATTATAGAAACAACTTGATTATGGCTGACGGCGTTGGTAAGTAACGTATATATCTTTAGTTTCAAAGATGCATATAAAACATTATAATACTGCGCGTTTGTAACGTTTATATAGCTTTATATACACGACTGTTGTCAGTTTACTAAGAAATCACATTTTTCCCCTGAAAAGAAAGTTTGCTGTATTATTAATTCGCCATAAAGATTCCTGACATGCTATATGGCCGTATATTAACAGTCGTTTGCAATATAACCCGAGCCGCCTGTGTGTGTGTTTTGGTTTGTTTACCCACGCCATCTGAAAGAAACCATATGGGTGAGCAATACAAACTGTTTATATAGGGTCATATAACCTGTAACTAATTATACAAACGTCACAAATATCCAATTAAAAGCGACGTTACAAACGTGCAGTATGCTGAATGCTCAGATGCGTGTTTTGACACACAAAAAAGGAAAAAAAAAGACGAAAGATCCGGATTTATAATGAGAGTTTTTGTTACGTGACCGATAGTACTAAATCGACAATTGAAGTACTTAAGATCCAGTTCAATAACGCAAATGATAAAAAATGTGTGTAATTAGCATCATAAACAAGAAAAATATTACAAACATTCGTATATGATATAGGTACGATTGCATACTAACTCCTGTGACGACTTTATATGGTTCCTGCATGAAAGGTGTTATATAAAATGAACAAACATGTCATCAGGTATTTTATTTTTTAAAAGTTTTCATGGAATGTAATAAATGTATCATAATATTAAAGTTTCATGCCTTCTGATGAGGAAAGTGATTTCAATAAAAGAACAATGCATGACCAATTTACTGCTTTAAAACATTTACACAAAATTACACATCTTCCACCAAACAGACCATATAAAAATCTTGCAAACCCACAGAAAAAGAAATATAAACAATAAAACCCCGTTTTTCCCCGCGTATTTCTTTGTTTTCTGAACTCTAAACTCTGGTCACGGGTTTATTGAAAACATACCTAACACGGACACGATCTTTTTTCTTTCTTTCTTTTTTTTACATAGCATTAAAAACCATTCAAATATATTATTTAACGGGATAGGATTTCATTGAAAATCATAGTCATAGATTTTAGAAATTATTATTTATTTACGCAAAAAAACATCATTATTTGTTACCGATTGATCCAATAAAACCCAAAAAGATACGGTTTGTAAATATCTATAATTACATATAAATATAAAAAGGTATTTCATATCATATGCGACGCGCCCAGGTTAACTATATTTATAATTCCCGCGTTAAGTCGCGATGGTGCTTGGGATAATCACGTGATACTGAAACGGCAGCCATCATACGATACGAAATTGCCTGGCCCTCCTCGGACAGATTTTTCTGCCGAAAATATAATATGAAATTAATACTTGCAATTCAAAGTTTGTTTGCTACATAAAGATTATCATATACTAATTGCAAACGTTTTCTCTGTCCGACTATGTTAATGTTTTGTCATTGGCTGAAACCAATACACAATTTAATTTTCATTAAAAATTATGCCGTTTATAGGACATACATGTATAACAATTGTATGTACAAATAAATTAATAACACAATCTCAGAAGTTTTTAAAATAATAAAAAATCATTGGAAAAAAATGAATGCATATAATTGTAAATTTGCGTATGACAACTCACCCCTAAACAAAACATAATAGACTCAACCAAAACAAGCGTCTGCTTCTTTACCTAATTTTGTAGTTGCAAGATCATGATCAACAAACCAAATTTAAGAGCAAATTTATTGTAAAAATAATACTATGACCACAGCAGATTTCGTACAGAAAAAAAAGTTGCTTATTATGAAATTTCATATACATGTTTAAGAAATTATTTTATATTGCTTTTATCATTTTCAGGATCCAGTATGCAGGTATACGCGGATGTATCTGGCAGAACAAACGCCTACCTTGTATATGGTTATAGTAACAACACCGTGAGAATGTGGGTAGACTCTTCAAACCTTGGTGGTATGTTACATTAAAATAAAATAATCCGACATTTTGAGATATGTTTCCATTATAAATGCTCAGTTAGTTATTTAGAAGGCGTGTTTGGTAATTTAAGAACTGTATTAACTTTACAGTAATATATGATGTTCATTTACGAAAAACATGAGTTTCACATATTGAAAAAAAAAGTTCAAGCAATAATGCCATGAATCTTACTTAATAAGGAGTCATAATACAATCTTTACAATGATTATTCTTTTATCTTTTTATAGCAAAGTGTGCGGCCACTATATTCTTTGATAATTTTCATGATAAAGGGGTCCTCTTAGTACATATGGTGGCATGATTAATTTTATAGGAACCAATTTCATTCTTGAAGTTTTATATGTCATTTAAAGCTCATATAAAATCATAAAAGGCTATGTTACAATTTTAGTACTCAATTAATTGTGAACTTAGAATGTTTTAATTTGATTTTATCCACTTTTTAAAGCGGATTTGGGTGGGGGTTTGTTTTAGTTTTAGTACTTATATTGTTATTTATAGAATATGTTTCGTTATATGCGCTGAATTCATTATTCGGATTGAAGGCATAATAAGTCAATTAAAAAAATGCAACATTCAAGATCACAATTTCATTTTTGTTGTTTTAGATCCATAAGATTTTAGCACGATAATTTGCTATATATATGTGGTAGTTTAAAATGATATGAGCCGCGTCACGACAAAACCAACATTATGGGTTTGCGACCAGCATGGATCCAGACCAGCCTGCGCCTCCGCGCAGTCTGATCAGGATCCATGCTGTTCGCTATCAGTTTCTCTACTTGTAATAGGGTTTGTAAGCGAACAGCATGGATCCTGATCAGACTGCGCGGATACGCAGGCTGGTCTGGATCCATGCTGGTCGCAAACCCATTATGTTGGATTTTTCATGACGCGGCTCTTATGACATTATCAGAAAATTCAACATAACCAACTGTGGGCATAAATAAAATTAAATCGTTCGTGGGATGACTTGTAGAAACATATGTATCTGTTACTTCTATGGAAATAAAAACTTTCATTTCAATTAAAACCAAGACATACTGACATATTTTTTCTATTTTTCTATTTTTCTAATCTTATATGTATACATTTTATATAAACTGTTTCTAGCAATATTTGATGGAAGAAAACACACATGGTTTGATATAGTGATGTCTGAAGGTGAGGCGGAGATTTTTGCCTGGAAATGTTCTACCATTACACCGTTACACAACGCACGTGTTGTTACTGAAAATACTATGGACAGGTTGCCCAAATACTGGAATTTAGATGTTGACTACGAACTAGAAAATTCACTGATTCGTGTTTCTGTAAATATTTTTCTTTTGTCTTTGTTACTGTATTTTATTTTTATCTATTTTATTATTTGATGGTTAGGACAAATCAGTTGATTAATCGGAATAAAATACCTTAATGCGTTTTTTTAGTTGCAATGTCGACACACGGCAATGAAGGGACGTCACGTAAATGTGATTTGACAATAGATAATGCGAAACGCCACAATATAATTCGACAGTAAGGTAAATCGTAAATGTTCGAATAATACGACATATTATTGACCGTAAATTTGACTTTTCGCGCTTTCCGCAGTGTTCCTACATCATTTCTGATTATAGCAGTTACTCTGCGTTGTCGTGAGCCAACATTTTAGCGCGACAGAGACAACGTTGCGGTTGACCCTATCAGGACACCGTACTTTTGATTTTAAATGGGAGATACAACCATACTACTGATTTTTATCGTGCTTTTCTAGGTGATTGTTGACCTGCATTCCAAAAAAAAACACTTTACGTACATGCTTGATCTTCTTTATCCTTGTAAATGTAGATGATAAGTTTGTTTTGAATTTAGCAATGATAGTCTTTAAATAAAGAATGTCAAATTAAACTTATTAGAATTATGTTTAACAATTAAAAAATATTACAGGTACTTGCCGAAACACAAGAGAAACCGAATTCCGGTTTTCGATTCCCGGGCGGAATGTATCTTGGGTACCCAGAACCACCGGAAACCGGAAATACTGTCAGCCCCGTATCAGTTGGTGGCCTCTCTTATGCGTATGAATTGAGATACAAATTCAATTTCTGGCAGCCAAAATTTTCCGAGAATTTTTCTGCAATATTTATAGCAGAATCATTTGGCGATGGAAAGAACACAGAAGTATCTCATAGTGAATCGGTTTACATATTAAGTTGGATATATGAAGGTTAGTTTGATGAAGAAAACTATCAAATCACAAAGGCCTCCAATATTTCCATGCATATACTTTAAACTGTAAGTTAGAATAGAATCTTTTGTTCCGTCTGATAACAAAAAACAATGAAACGATATTGAAAGCCTGGAAAATTTAGCAAAGTAAATGTATTCTTAATGTTTGTACCAGCTGTAAAGCAGTTAATTTTGCTTGTCAGTAATTTCTAGGTCTTACGCCTCGGTCACGAATACTTCATACTTAGTTTTTCTAGTATCTACAGTAACAGTAAAGTATTATATTTTGTTGATTATAAAAGAATAATTTTCACCTTCCTTTAAATGATTTTATCAAAATGGTTAATTTCCAATCAATATACGATTATTAACAGAGAACGCTGGCTGCCCAGAGCCGGTCATTCCGAATGGATTTGCCAACACGTCATTGAATGGAACGTCAACGGGATCGCACGCGATAGTAAGTTGTGATGAGGGGTACGATATAAAGCAGAAAAAGAAATATTACGGTTACGACTATGAGCGGTATAATATCACGTGTCATAAATTTGGATACTGGGAGAATATGCCAAGCTGTATACCAAAGGGTACGACTAAATATTCTTTAGCATGTAATGAAATCATATGTTTTTTGTTTGTTTCGCTTTTTTTTAAAATTGAAATTACCTTGAAAGCAGCATCAGAGAGAGGTATTTGTCGAAAAGGTTAAACATAAGGTAACATTTTCAAACCTAAAACAAATGAATTAATTTACACGAAACTCTTACGCTTGTGTGATGATAAGTAAGTCGTGTATTTACAGCAAAGCTCATTTGCACAACATTGTGCTTTACGTGGAGACTAAATGCAAAATTTAGCGCGAACGAGGTATTGCAATGCAACATGTCTTTGTATTTAAAAAATGTACTTATTGCTATGTTGTTTTAATGCAATAAAATATTGTAACAGTGAAACAGAAGCATACAATTTACAGTTACATAAACAAGGGGCAGGACGTGAAGTGGTTGCACACTTGGTTCAAGCGAGCGAATTGGTTGCAAACTTGACAAAATGGCGAAAACGGCGTGATTTTTTGAAACGGGTGAACGAATTTTTGCCAGGCAAGTGGGTTTCTTTGTTATTTTGAAGTTCATTAGTATGTCTATTCCATAATGCAATATATATGCCACACTCGGTTAAAGGTTTCAGCATCCTAGATTCTGTTTTGATGAAGTTATTGAAGATATAAAATGATCATGTAGATATTTTGAAATTTGACATCTGACTGTTCTGGCCGGTTTTTCTCCTAATTTATTCGAATTTGGAAGTTTTGAACTGCATTTAACAATAACAAAATATGTTTCTGTCAATGCTGTACAAATGGTTTAGTTCGCAAGTCCAAAGAAAACGTTCAATACACAAAAATATCTTGTTCAAGCACATTTTGGTTGCAGACTTACACTTCACGCATTTTTGGTTGCAAACTTATTCTTATTCTATTGAAATCCATAGTAAAACTTTGCAAAAGGAGTGTAGAAGGTTATATCTATTAACCTATTTGCAATGGCAATTATTGACATTTATGTTCTGTTACTTCTTTTTGTTATAAATGTTATTTATACTTTCTTCTTTCACAACAATTATGCACTTTATGTTTCAAATTACATGGTTCTCAGTTCAATACTTTAATCATCAGTAAAAGCATGCAAACAAAATAATAGCATATAGAAAAATATATATTGATACTTCAATTCTAAAATATGTCATCATATGTAAAATGCAAATGAAAACTACATACAAAACAAACGTATGTGAAAGTTGTATGTAAGTGATTTTTTCATCATAAACATAAGGACATGTGCACACATACGATGTTATTCGGCAAAATTTCCAAAGTTTATCAAAACCACAAGAAATTTTAATTTGTTTGTTTCGTATGTAAAAATCAGCAGTTGCTTTAGACATAAAGTATGTAAATGTACTTAAAATATTTTTACAAACCAAAAGTTAAAATGACGTACATGCTTGTTTTCAATATTTCGGATTTGGTATTCTAAAGATGATTTTGATTACATTGTATTAGATCATAATATAAATGATATACGATTGGTTATTTACATTATCGTGGGCAAACCAGTTCTCAAACCTCTAAGCATTCAAGAGGTCTTTTAGTATAAATAAGATTAAATCTTATCAAAATTCTTTACATATGTACCCTTTAATCTTTATGTAATATTTCTGTAAAATTTGACTGAAATTCAACAATTAAAAAAGCTCTTTTTCTATCTTTGAAAAGCACAACCCTCTCTTATAAAATTAACATGGCCTCTTAAAAGAAATAACCTAATCTCAAACCCCTTCAAGTATCTCTGAAATTTTACTGTTTAGTTTAGTCAATGAAGTGATTATCATATGAATATCAAATGACAATGAAGTACCCTACAGGATGCAGGTACCTGCTTGAAGATACGTTTGTCTCTATCATTTTTACAAAAAGTTAATGGTGTATTTACAGGACTTACAAAAGTAATAGCAATTTGTATGAAATTATGCTAAGTAATAAGATATTTAATGTAAATTTTCCTAACAATATACTGTTTTAATTAAACAGCAGCTGAAATGTCTGTCAGAAACTAATCTTTAATGCACACAAGTTGAGGACATCATAGTCACTTCTAGTAAATAAATAACAGCTCATGAATGAAAGGTTTGAGAATAGGTTGGGTGTGAGATTAGGTACTTATACGATACATTGAAACGTGACAAAACTACTTAAAGTCATTGTTCGAGTTAGCGTATTTGGAAAATGTTTCGATTGGTCAATAATAAGGAACAATTTAAAGAAACATGTGAATAATGCCCTTGTGTCAATGTTAATATAGTTTTTATCTATATATAATCAAATTTATTTTAAATCTCAAAAAAGAACAATAATGAAAGCTGTTTGTTGGTATTTTTTTCTACTTTTCCTACAGTTAGTCATGCCAAGATATAAAAAAGTCCTAAGACTTTGTAAAAAGAAAAGGAGTATATCGAGGAGAAAAAATGATGAAGATAAACACAACTGAACTTCAATTTAGCATATTGTGTTATATATCTATTTGAAAGACCCTGTGTTAGGATATATCTGCACGCATGCACAATTTGTATATATATTTCCTATTAGATGAAGTGGTATAATTGCCTTAATATTGCTAATTATTTAAAAAAAAAAAAGATAAGTTATTCCTCGCTAAAAATATGCATGCTACATTATTGACACAAAAGTTTGCAACCAAAAATGCTTGAAGTATAAGTCTGCAACCAAAATGTGCTTGAACAAGATATTTTTGTGTATTGAACGTTATCTTCGGACTTGCAAACTAAACCATTTGTACAACATTTACAGAAACATATTTTGTTATTGTTAAATGCAGTTCAAAACTTCCAAATTCGAATAAATTAGGAGAAAAACCGGCCAGAACAGTTAGATGTCAAATTTCTAAATATCTACATGATCATTTTATATCTTCAATAACTTCGTCAAAACAGAATCTAGGATGCTGAAACCTTTAACCGAGTGTGGCATATATATTGCATTATGGAATAGACATACTAATGAACTTCAAAATAACAAAGAAACCCACTTGCCTGGCAAAAATTCGTTCACCCGTTTCAAAAAATCACGCCGTTTTCGCCATTTTGTCAAGTTTGCAACCAATTCGCTCGCTTGAACCAAGTGTGCAACCACTTCACGTCCTGCCCCTTGATAAACGAATGCATTGAGTCTTAATTTTGTGACGGTAGTTTTTATTTAAAAAAAAAACAATGTCAGGAGTATGACAAGTAAGACAGAATAAAAAAATGTATATTTGTAAATTTATTTAATAACGACAAGGTAAGGGATCCAGCATTTAGCATTATTCGTCAAAATAATTTTTCATGTTAATCAGTCTTGATCTTTTTCTGTGGTCGCTTTATGTGTATACATGTTAAAATTTCTCATATAAATGCCATCAATGTTAATTAATATATTTTTAATCAGGGCCGATCGCTAATGTTGTAAAAACTTGAGCCCAACCCTTTTGCTATTTGTTACTTCGAAATCAATTTGTTTCTCTGTATATTTACATTTATATATTAGAAATAAAATATGATTAGACTAAATTCAAAAATTAGAGGTATAGTTTTAACCAGATTGGTTAGCGGAGCGTTGGCTTAGCGGTTAAGGTGTCTGCGTAAGGGGAGCGGTGGCCTAGTGGTAAAGTGTCTACCACTCAAACAAGAGATCATGGGGTTCAAGCCCAACTTGGGTCACGACCATGTTTCTTCATATTATGACACTAGTACTAAGATAAAAATGTTCGAGCCAAACAGATTGGTATAGTTTAAGCGTGTTTAACATTTTTCTTGTTACATTTTCAGTTTTTCAGAAAGATGTAATTATGATCGCATGAATAGTTTCCATTTATGTTAAAAATATTTTTAAAGGCACAGTGTGCCTCAGAAATCCATATATATATATTAATTTTTTTGAAAAATAATGTTAAGAAAGAAAAAGTAGCACTGAGCATGCAGTGATGTGTCGTAAAGGTAGCAAAACATAAACAAAAGTTAATTTGACTACGATCACTAAAATTAAACCAATGGCCAACATAACAAGGTCAGCGGAAGATAGTTTATGTATATGGCAAATGAGTGTTTTGTTTTGTCTTTTTAAAAATTGTCTCCTGATAAAAGTGGCGACATGGCCGAGTGGTTAATGATCGCTAGCCGCATGGGTTCAAACCTCGTCACGGGCAAGTCGTTGTTTCCTTAGGCAAGACACTTTACACTCATTGCTCAGTACAGGTTGGTTCCAGGAACTGATTCGAAAATGTGTCTATAAGCTTATAGCTTCCTACACAATCGAACTAAAATAATTTCTGTATTAAAAGATAATGTTTTTGAGAAATCAAACTGATATCATTGGGCCTTTAAAAGCTGAAAAAAGTGATTATAATCTAGTATTTTATTATTTTTTTTATTCTTTCAAGAAATTTGTTCAACTCATACCAGTGACACTTATAAAGTGCAAATGACGCTATTATGCACATTCAATTTACATTTAATATTACAAACAACAAATTCTAGTTATGTTGACGATGCCATTATGACGTCGTTTCGAGGGATTTTTTCCAAACGTAATACTTGCAAAATACCGCTACACTGAAACTGTAGACGTTGCTAAATAATTATATTTTTTTTATTTTGTTTAAGAGAATAGTTCTAATCATATTTAAGAAAAAGCAGTAGGCTCAGATTGCAACCCTGCCGTGGATAGATGCCGGGATCAACACGCGACTTGTACTTTGACCCCGGATAGACAAAGATATAGGTGCACATGTAACGATGGTTACAAGAATAAAATTGGGCGGTGCAAAGGTATAGTTATTTATTCATTTGTGTAAATAAATCAATCAAATCATTTTTCATAAATGTGAAACCATACTTTTAAGAATAGCTATGAAAATAATTACTCACGGTTACTGGTTCAAATACCCCATAAGCAGTAACCGTGATCCCTACTACATCTCATCTTATGGTTACTATAGTGTATATTTCTGTTCATTTGAGCTCATTAATTCAAATCTTTTAATCCTACATTAATGAATAGCGCGCAAGGCGGTGCTAGGGAGGGTTGGTTATAAATGTTGATGTCTATCTAAATGTATAAATAAATATACATACAGATTTATTTTCATTCAACCTGGTACGAGGAACATGAACGATTGTACCGAGGACACCGAGGGACATTATCTGAACTGGATAACCTTTATATTTGTATACATTCATATTTAGGTCAATAACATGTACCATCAAAGTGAAGACTAAAAAAGAAGGTCGTGATCTTGCAAAAATAATTAAACATCCAAAATTGTGTATATAACTATTAATATACGAGGGACGGTCCGAAAATATCCGGACTTTTAACCTTGGAAGAGGTAGCCAACAAGTTTAGCATCGGTAAGGCATCGGCACACATATTTTCCACGAACACCTAGGCATGAGCAAGGTAAGTGCCAGGTGGGTGCCTAGACAGCTGTCCGCAGATCAAAATGCAACCAAAGTAACCAATGCAAAAGAACATTAAAGTCGTTTTTATCGTGAAGGAGATAAGTTTTTGAACCGCATTATCACTGGAGATGAGATGTGGGCTCATTATTCCGAACCTGAGACAAAAGCTCAGTCAAAGCAGTGGAAACGAGCTGGTTCCCCACCTCCTAAAAAGTTTAAGCTGTCTCCTTCGGCTGGCAAAGTCATGCTTGTTGCCTTTTGGGATTCACGAGGAATGATACTTACTCATGTCACGGCTGTCACTGCCAAGTACTATTCTGAAGTAATTCTGAAAATTTTCAGAGAAAAGCTGAATCAAATGTGTCCCAGGTTGGCACAGAAAAATGTCCTCCTTCTTCACGATAACGCCCCCTCCCATACAGCCGCTGCTTCAGTGGAAGTTATCAACTCTTACAAATAGCAATTATTGTCTCACCCTCCTTATAGATCAGACCTCGCCCCCTGTGACTTTTATTTGTTACCAGAACTGAAAAAAATGCTTGCTGGAAAGAAATATAAGACCAGGGCGGCTTTGATATCTGCTGTTACACAGTACCTAAAACATAGGTCTACGTCATGATTCACAGCGGGAATACAAAAGCTCCCATGAAGATGGCAAAAGTGCGTAGACGTAGGTGGAGAATATTTTGAAAAAGAGTAGAAAGATTTTTTTTAATGTTGAATGGTTTTCGAGAACGAGTCAAAAGTCTGGATATTTTATGACTTCCCCTCGTATATACAATTTTATCCACATTTTTCAGAGTGAAATAAGTCATTAGGGAAACTCTCTACAAGAAATATACTTTTATACAGATTTTACTTTTTCCTTTTTTGTGTTTAAAAAATCTTCATTTATCACCAGTCTTATTTCATTCTTTACAGCCAAAGGAATCTATTTACCAACAGCTGATTATGATAGTGACTGGACAATACTTTATAGGACCGGTTCTAAGTGGCACCTCGAGTTCGAACATGGCCTGGGGACAGTACCGGTGATAGTTGATGTACAAGTTGAAGTTGATAACTTAATATTCCATGCTGTTGGTAAGCAACAATATATTCTGATAGTATAAATTCCACGTGTTTATTGTACTAGCTAGGCTCAAAAACTTTAAATTGTTGTCTTCATACTCGTGCTGTCCATCTGTACCCACCCGGTGACGCCAGTTTATCAAAACGTCACTTAGAATATCATATGACTTTGGAAACAACGTATTTCTTTAAGTAATCGTTTGAATTTTAAAGTTTTAATTACAATATAAACATTGTATCGTAAATTCATTCCGTGGACTGGTAAAGATGCAGACATTTTACATTGATAATAGTAATTTGGCTTTGATAGAATATATATTTTCTTTAATTGTTCATCTTATATTTTTCATTCATCTTTAAGGTCACAGATTTCTCAGTCGGTGTTAACCATAGTTATAATAAATCGATTTGCACCCTAACAACAGTTTACGATATTGTTCATTTAAGCTTATTTATGAACAATTTTGCAAAGCCCGGTCCTTAATATGGTTTTTTAATTATATGTGCCTTGATTGCCAATTTTAGACTTAATTTTTTATCAAGGTGTCTCACCTGCAATACTTCACCGAGGTTTTGACTATGAGAGTACAGTTGTATATATCTATGATGAAAATTTTGTCAATGTATCGGCCTACAGACCTACTGGAGATTGGAGTAAGGACGGCCTTTTCACAAGAAGTAAGATTAAAAACACTCTCCTATACGTGTGCTGTTCAATCCAATTTCTAGACGGTATTGTTCCATCTTAACCATTTTGTCTTCTTTCCATATTTGTATTTTGTCATTTTTCGACCGGAGGCCTTCTTAAAACAGATTGACTTCCTGTAAAATGTACATAATAGAACTGAATACTAGTAAAAGAGTAAACGGAGTTTTCATTAGTAATTTTCAAATTACAGACTACTATCTGGTAATAAAAAAGATTTCTTGTCAATTTAAAACAAAGTTTTAAGGATAGTTCTTATTTAAAAAAAATGTAAAGGATAGTTCCCTTCATTATAAAATATAATGCAAAAGATAGTTATTAAATAAAATGTACAGGATAGTTCTTTAAAGATATATTATGCTCACGATTGAGTAAAATATCTTAATCACAGAAATTTATTAAAATCTATGAAATTCGTGTTGAATAATGTCTAATAAATGTCTAAATAGAATAATAAATTAACTATGTATGGGAAGCTGCGTTGGTCCTTTTCAAAAAAAAAACCGTCAGGTTTTTTTTATTTTTTGTATGCTAACGTTATATATTCTTTTGGTGACCACCAATGCTGTGAATAATTTTAAACCTAACGTACCTACTTTGTGTCAATTCAAAACATGTTTATTTCAAGTTTACAAACGGACTGTGTAGCAGTTATCAATATTTTCTAATATCAAATTGGAGTGTTGTATATCCTTAACTTTCTGCATGTATTAGTGTCCAACATTTTGTCATCCAATGAAAACGCTGTATTTTTTAAAAATCCTGTGCGTTAATTTTCATAGAAGAACAAAGGTCGATACTATATCGAATACCGTTCATAGTCGACTTCTATTTTTCATAGGTTTGTAAAATAAGTCATTTGCATAAATTTGCGCATGCGCATTCGTTGGCTGCTTTTGAATATTAAGTAAAAATGGCGTCAAAAAGTCAACCTACATTTTGCTTTTATTGATTAAGGATACTAAGTAAAGATCTACATGCAGTTCAGATTTAAATCCACGTCTTTGTGAAAAAGATACTGCACGTGTAATAGTAAGACCCAATACAAAATGTCAATTTATATTTGTTGTTACGAATGTAGAAAAGGTCTTAATTAATTTGTAACTAAGTCACGTGTGTCTATCCGCTTTCTTTTTTTCGGTAGACAGAAAGTGAATGTAGATATTATGCTTTTGTAAAATACGTGTCTTGACCTCGTGTTAACATATGACATTTAGTGTATAAATCATATCTGATGTATCGACTCATCAAAAAAAATTGTCGAAAATAAATGTTTCAATATCGAGCAAATGAAAACTCGCATCAGCCATATTATTCTGGTACATACGTTGTGATGCAAATCATGCATATTTAAAAGGTCATATTTAGACCCACCATTCAGGTAATTGTTTAATAAATAAACTTTGTAAAAGAGTTTTATGCAATAAATTTATGTTATGTTAATAAAGCGGACTGGTAGTGACGTAATAAAGTGAATATTAATGTGGCCAAATTAAGTTGTACACTTAATAATATGTTAGTATCATTCGTAGCTGTTTTACAGAAATTAGAAGCATTCTCCTGTCGCTATCGCTTCCGTCGAAGTTTTTAATTTCTATAGAACAGCACGGATGAACACTAACATATACGTAAAATTGATCAGATATTTCAGTTTTGTTCAGCACAAAATATTTTACACTGCGTTTAGAACATTACATTTTCTAGTGAGCAGTTCACAGAAAGAGTGATAAAGTTTGTCAAAAATAACCTGCTAACCAATAAAGTTTACAATCCTGTCAGTGTACTCATGCACATGAATATATTACACACAAAAAACAACACACAAACAAAAAACCCAAAGACACACACACACATACAAAATCCAAACTTATCAGGTATCCTTAAGTATAATATGTAATAAGATCTTTTATATGTTTGATTGATACTATGTAGATCTATTATGTTTATAAATTAAATATTCATATTATTTTGCACAATCAAGGTAACTACAAGTGGCATGGTTATGCCGATAACTGGGGAAACTTTGGATATGTCCGAGTTCGGGCATGGAAAGCCGCATCACTTCCGGAACCAGATATATTTGACAGCACGAAAACATTGAGGGCTAACACTTCTAAAGGTGATTTCCATTCAATCATATCTTTTACATTACAGTGCATGCAGTATGTTGTTTTGGGAAATACATATCAATGAGTGATATCAAATTTGATTGCATTTTTGTAGAATGACGGTTCGGGATGATAATCACGAGGGCCAGTAATTACGAATCATCTGAATGGCAAACTGTGCATTATTATACTATCGTGCACGAAAAATTATTATCTATTTATATTCTTACATGCTAATAAAAAGAGGAATTGATAAAACTATGTTTATCTATTATATTAAACGTTGAAGTATTTTTATGACGTCAATTTGTTTATTGACGTCATATTTGACGTCATATTGTAAGCAGTTATCTAATAATCTACTTGATAGCTGTCCTATCTGTTTAATTGGGGAATAGAAGTGTGTTAGATTTAATATCAAATTTTAATGCGGGTGGAATTTCCTTGTATTGATGATTAAATGAGCCGCGTCACGACAAAACCAACATATTGCGTTTGCGACCAGCATGGATCCAGACCAGCATGCGCATCTGCGCAGTCTGATCAGGATCCATGCTGTTCGCCTACCAACTCTATTACAAGTAGACAAACTGAAAGCGAACAGCATGGACCCTGATCAGACTGCGCGGATGCGCAAGCTGGTCTGGATCCATCCTGGTCGCAAACGCACTATGTTGGTTTTGTCGTGGCGCGGCTCAAATCAAACAGTTTGTTTTAAGCATATGGTATACATCTCGTCCAAATTAGAAAAATCTGTCTTTTTTTAACAAATATCATTCTTATATTACATCATAACATATCTTTGTGATATATACAATATTTTGGTGAGTCACGAATTCTGGTTACCTAGAGACTTTAATAATACGACTTGAATAGATCTTGTAGATCTGTTTAAATACTCCTTTTGTTTGATTTCAGCCAGCGACTCGTTTCATGAACTGGATCATAGTCTAGGAGAATACCCTGGTATAGTTGTTGTTCGAGCTAAAATGGAGTATAATGGTACAACTTTCTACGCAGATGGAATTGGTATGTTGTTTTGAAAATAAAATAAAAAAGCACAACATGTTGTTTTAAATAAAAAATGAAAAAGCACAGCATAAAATTGATTTTATCTAACCAATAGCCTTTTTCTCTACAAGTTATTTGAAAGTGCATGTAATATTTCAAAACGAATTGATAAAATAGTTCTTCACTCAAATTGTAATAATTATGAGGTAAATCCAGAAATATTTTGTAAGACGTTGCATTACCCACAGTCCATTGCTCTATATTAAGTGAAATGCTTTTATTTTTAATATAAATGTATTTTGAATTACGTTCTTTTATTAATTTAAAGGATCAGCACTTAATGTATTTTACGACAATGAAAACGAGACAAACTCCGGTTTGGTTTACGGTTACAGTGACTCAAAGATTCGCGCATGGGTGGACTCCTCAACGAAGGGAGGTAAAAAGATATATACATGTATATATTTATATAACAATTATGTTTGTTTCCTAATGATTTTTTTTCTTAAGCAGTGTGAAATAATTTAAGGTAGTCTTACTGTAATGCTTTCCCCGCCAAAACAATTCTGACATTGCCCATTATCGTAGCAAATCGGTTATTGCCAGAACAGTATCCTTTCAAAATCTTGGGCATTAGATTGTTAGCAATCACACATCCTTCATCGCTTTCCACAAATTTCCGGTTATAAACGATTAAAAATTATTGAATACCGTAAATAGTGAAAAATAACGTTCCGGAAATGACCGATATATTACGTTAATGGCCGAAGATGATACGCAAAGAAAGACACCAGTTTGAATTATTGATCCTTGCAATCCTAATGCAGATTTATCAGAAATAATTGCAACTGCCGTCTTCTTTGGTATCTTTTTTCAGTTCCTTTTTTTGGAATTCAATAAAGAATAAGGAACTGGTTCCTTATTCGACTTAAACAGTTTTTCAAAATAGTTTTATATAGATAATTTATTCAACGATTTTTGATGTTTTATTCTTGCAGCTCTAATGCAAATTTATCAGGAATAAATGCAAATGCATTCTTTCTTCGCGTATCGTCTTCTGTTCTTCATTATGAGTTGAATAAGGAATAGGGAAATGGTACCCTGTTTGACTTGAACATTTTTTGCAAAATATTTTTATGCAGATGCTTTATGCAATGATTTTCATGATTGATCCTTGCAATTCTTATGCAAATATAATAGAAATATTTGCAACTGCTGTCTATAATTGCGTGTCTTCTTCTGTTACTTATTTGGAGTAGAATAAGGAAAATCATTTTTTTATGCAGATGCGTTATGCAATGGTTTTAATGATTGATCCTTGCAATTCTTATGCAGATACATCTCAAATAATTGCAAGTGCTGTCTTTCTTTGTCTATCGTCTTCGAAATTAAAATGAGTAATTAAAAACTGTATCTTTATCCTTATAACTTGTTCGACTGGAACATTGTTTCAAAATATTTAGATACAGGTTCTGTATGTAATGATTTTGTTTGATTTTTGCAGTTCTAGTATAGATTGATGAAAAAAACAACAACAAAAGTGCACTTGCTGTATCTTCAGTTCTTTTTCAGTGTAACCTTGTGGTTCTAGTTAACTTTGCTGATCAACCATAAATATTTTTATATAAATGTTCTGCTCTTCCATATTTAGATTTGAATAAGGAATCAGGAACTAGTTCCCTATTCCTTATTCGAAAAGGAATAAGCAATAGGAACTTACTTTATATTCATAATTTCTTGATCGGTTATAGTTAAGTCAGCAATATTTGATCTGTTATGGTCATTTCAACGAAATAAATCGGTTATGGTTATTCAAACAACATTTATTTTTGCACTATTTGATAGGTTATGGTCAATTCAGCAATATTTGATTGTTTTTTGTTATTTCAGCATTATATAATAATTGGTTGTGGTCATTTCAGCAATATTTGATCAGTTACGTTCTTTTTAGCAATATTTGATCAATTCAGCAATATTTGATTGGTTATATTTTTTAGCAATATTTGATTGGTTATGTTTATTTCAGCAATATTTGAATGGTTATGTTTATTTCAGCAATGTTTGATCAGTTTCGTTTTTTAGCAATATTTGATCAATTCAGCAATATTTGATTGGTTATATTTTTTTAGCAATATTTGAACGGTTATGTTTATTTCAGCAATCAGCAATATTTGAATGGTTATGTTTATTTCAGCAATATTTGATTGATTATGTTTATTTTAGCAATATTTGAATGGTTATTTTTATTTCAGCAATATTTGATGGCAGAAAAGACACATATTTCGACATGATTGTGTCAGAAGCTGTACTTGAAATTTATGCATGGAAAATATCAACAATCACTCCTTTCTTCACGTACATATTCCCGCTGGATGAGGACCGAATACCGTATGCTACCGAGTTCTTAATGAACTTTGAACTTGGTGACGGACTTACCTTGACTACGGTGAAAAAAAAAAAGATTTTTACATAGAAAAGTTGGATAAATAATAAGACTAAAAGTGTATATTCCGTATTGTATACAAAGGACCAATATTTACAACTGTGGAAAGAATAACCTGCATACATGTATCACTATGAAAGATGTTCAAGGTCGAAATTGAAATTTGCCGACGATAAAATAAATAAAAAAGAAACCCCCTGATACTTTAAATTTACCGGTCCGGTCTCCATATTAGAATTAATTTAATGAAGGGAACGAGCTGTTTCTTGATCTATTTTTAGAAACGAACGTCATTGACGAGCTATAAATAGCTCTCGAGACACTGCTTTGAAGAAGTCTTCACAATATGATGCACTTTTCTAAGATGAAATTATTCACATACTTAGTTTGAAACAACACAAATTTGTTGTCGTTTGCTTGCTTGTTTGTTGTTTGTTTGATTGTTTTTTCAACAGAAACAGGGGGACTGCTTGAACCAGTAGAATGTGAGAAAAGTCCAATATACAATACATAATAGTTGATCTTTTATCAAAGTCCTTAAAAAATGTTCTAAATTGCGGCGTTTATAATGTATCCTTTACTAATTAACAGGCACAGATTATGGACACTTCAAGTCAAAACAAAGACTTCCGTTTCCCATCGTCAGCGTTCCTTGCGGACAGATATGGTTACGACGTTTTCAACAACAAAACTGCGCCAAAATGCATATTTGGTGGTTTTACGGCCGCTTATGAAAAAGGAAGTTTGTTTCGGATGACTGAGGAAATTAAACTAATCCTGTATAAACCCAAGGACTACAAAACGCCATATGAAGATTTTGGTAAATTTGCGATTGATTATCTGCGTGAAACAGAGTTGTTTCATTTTTCATAGTTTGTACAAATTACAACCAATCAGTAATATGTTTCTTGTATATACATTTTTTTCGTGTTCTTCAATCTGATTAAAAACCAGTCCCCTTAATTTGCTAAACTGAACGTGTGTGAAAGAGATATAAGTGAATTTAAGTGAGATTGTTATTGCAATTAGGAATTAGTCCACAATAAAAAAATCTGTAATATCATGAAAAATTATGTTGACAGTATTTTTTTTTCAAAATTAATTATTTTATATTTAGGAGCTTTGTTATGTATACCTGACACATATGGGGGAGGAACATATGCCGATGCAGCCCATAATGGCATTGGAATCCTTCACAGCTGGATAAATGGAGGTCAGTAATCGACTACCCTTAAAATCCCCCCTGCTGGCTGTTGCAATACAAAATGTAATCGGATTTTCCCGCTGTTGCATTACAAAATGAATCGGATTTTCCCGCTGTTGCATTTAATTTACAAAATGAATCGGATTTTCCCTTGTTGCAATACAAAATAAATCGGATTTTCCCGCTGTTGCATTAAAAATCAATCGGATTTTTTTTGCTGTTTGCAATACAAAATTGATCGTATTTTCCCACTGTTGCAATACAAAATGAATCGGATTTACCCGCTGTTGCAATAAAAAATTAATCGGATTTTCCCTTGTTGCAATACAAAATGAATCGGATTCTCTCGCTGTTGCAATACAAAATGAATCGAATTTTCCCGCTGTTATATTGCAAAATGAATCGAATTTTCCCTTGTTGCAATACAAAATTAATCGGATTTTCCCGCTGTTGCATTTAAAATCAATCGGATTTTTCTGCTGTTTGCAATACAAAATTAATCGGATTTTCCCGCTTTTGCATTACAAAATGAATCGGTTTTTTGGCTGTTGCAATACAAAATCAATCGGATTTACCTGCTGTTGCATTACAAAATGAATCGGATTTACCCACTTTTGCATTACAAAATGAATCGGATTTTCCCTTGTTGCAATACAAAATAATCGGATTTTCCCTTCTTGCAATACAAAATTAATCGGATTTTTCCTTGTTGCAATACAAAATAAATCGGATTAACCCGCCTTTGCATTACAAAATTAATCAGATTTTCCTGCTGTTGCAATACAAATTGAATTGGATTAACCCGCTATTGCATTAAATATCAATCGGATTTTTCTGCTGTTTGCAATACAAAATTAATCGGACTTCCCCCTGTTGCATTACAAAAAGAATCGTTTTTTTCCGCTGTTGCAATACAAAATGAATCGGATTTATCCGCTAATACATTACAAAATTAATCGGATTTTCCCTTGTTGCAATACAAAATGAATCGGATTTTTCCTTGTTGCAATACAAAATGAATCTTATTTACCCGCTGTTGCATTACAAACTGAATCAGATTTTACCTCTGTTGCATCACGAAATGAATCGGATTTCCCCACAATTTTGCGTATAAATTAATGTAAATTCACCTTAAAATTGCCAAGTTTATATTGCTATCTATTTTAAATATGGATGTTATTTCAAGCTTGTACTATTTATTTATTTATTTATTTATTTCAGCGGTAAACATGGTAAATTTTGATCTGATGTACATATAATGGTACTATAATGTTATTAAGTGCATAAGCTTTAACAATATCAATTTTCGGCATATTCACGAGATACTTTGCATTTTAAGTAATTACAGCATGTATTAACTCTGCTTTGGTAATTAATTTCTTTTTTGTTTCTTCTTAAGACTGTGGTGATCCTCCAGAATATTCAAATGGATATTTGAATACAACAGAAAATGGTAAGAATTGGCCCCTTTGCCAATTGGAGTTTTTTGATGGGTACGGGGTTTCCCAAATTTTAAAGTACAGCTCTTTTTGTAATGACGGGGGGGAAAGGGGCAGCCTATGGCCAGTGCAAGCCAAATGGTGTGTAAAATTCTTCTTCACTTTTAACATTACACCGCTTTACTTTGCGTCACTAACATATTACACTGCTTTACTTTATCTCATTTAAAATCATTATAAGCTTTACTTTGTCCTTAATTTTATACATTATACCGATTTACTTCCCGTCACTTATACATTACACCGCTTCACTTTGGCTTTAATTAAATACATTTCACCGCTTTACTTTGACTTACTTTAATACATTACACCGCTTTACTTTGTTCTTACTTTAATACATTACACCGCTTTACTTTGTTCTTACTTTAATACATTACACCGCTTTATTTTAATACATTGCACTGCTATACTTCACATCACTAACACATTATACCGCTTAACTTCGCGTCACTAACACATTACAATCTTTACTTTTCCTTAACTAATACATACACTGCTTTACTTTGTCTTTAATGTTATACATTATACCGCTTTTCTTCGCGTCACTTATACGTAACACCGCTTTACTTGGTCTTTACATTAAACATTACACCGCTTTACTTCGCTTCACTTATACAAACACCGTTTTACTTTGTCTTTACTTTATACATTACGCCGCTTTACTTTGTCTTTACTTGATACATTACACAGCTTAACATCGCGTGTGAAAGCAGCTGAATATTTTCTTAACTATATATGATGTGAAAATAGTTATGATGTGGTGTAACGACATGAGACCTTTTTTTTCCAATCTTATTTTCATAGCGTCCGAAGGCTATTTTCATAGCGTCCGAAGGCTACCATTTTTTCAGATTTAAATTACAATTGACCTAAGTAAAATAATGTTGTACTTTATGTCACCTCTATATGTGCATTTATTTAATAATCTGTTCAAAGTGCTTTACAAAACTTGAGAACATGTGATTGTGTTTTTTAATTAAAATCAACATAACTGTTTTACCAATTAATCGAGTTTTAGTACTCAATTTTCGCACGTTTTATGCTGCTTAACTTTTAATTTGAATTGAACCTATGATAAAATGCGCTACCACTTTCTTCATTTTTTGGTCATTTTTACGTTATTTTTGATGATCGTTAGTTAACTCTTTGACAAACACAAATGTGTGCTTTTTTGTAGTTTTCATTAATGTTTAACAGAATGTGTGGAGGTTGAAGCACCAACAAATGGTACAATGATTGTAAGTGGTTTTACATTTGGAAATAACGTAACATTCCAATGTGAGGAAGGCTTTAAAATAATTGGTTCAGATATGATTAAATGTATGTCAACCGGAAATTGGTCCGCAAGCGTTCCGACTTGCAGTGAAGGTAGGTAGATTTATTGGTTAGCTTTGCCGATCTGTATACTATCAAAAATAAGACGTAACATTTTAACATTTGTTCTGTGAAAGAAGGCCTGTGATGACATTCCAGGCGTTACTAAAGGTCCAGAATGACACCTTGAGTAGAAAACCGGCCTTCAAATGAAAACAATCTAATATTAAAGTCTCTGGTGGAATTCAAACACACAGTGGCAGAAGCCAAGTAATTTGACCATTCGACCATGGGCGCCCAAATTCATTCATATTTGAATAGATAAGAACTATCATCAGCATAAGTGAATGACGTCACTATGTTACATATGCAGCTCAAATTGAATAAAAGATATGACATTAATAAATTGTTAACAGTCTAATTGAAGGAAAAAGAATTGAGCAATTTGATATGACGTCATTTAACTTAAAGTATACTTTGGTTTAATTTCAGACGATAACAAGGACAAAGTTTCAAGAAGTAACAGAGAAAGTGGGAGTATCATACATGTATTAATGGCAATCACTATGATACCCATGTTGCTGTCGATTTAACTTCATGAAACAACATGTTAAATAATACGAATAGTTAGAAGATTTTCCATAATTTAACGTTTATTCAGGCATAAATAGGGCAGTGATAAACTAATATTCCAATTGTGTTTGGTCTTGACGAAACTTCTCAATGGATTGAGAAAGAGTAAAAGGCTTTTTTAGCGTTGGTTACACGTTACCTTACAATCGACCTGAGGCCATTTTAAGCCTGTCAACTGTCCAAAATTCTCTTGGCGATATGAGGAGCTACCGCCCCCTTCAAACCCTCAACACAGAAGGGGGCACATCCCCCTTCTGACGACCCAATGATGTACCTTTTCTGAAAGGGGGCGGCGCCTAAAAAGTGATCACTTTTTTTATCAACATTTATCAAACGAAAAAAAGTGTTTGTGTCCTAAATAAGGCATTATTTTACTGTTGGAGGCCTCAAAACGGGAGGAGGGGTGTTGGGCGAAAAGCCGTCAAAGCACGTCTATATAAGTAATATCATCTATCACACAGTTACCCAGATGTGTATTTTATTTGATTTTACTGGACTGCTCATCTTTGATCTAATCAAAGCTGATATATGACTATGTAAAATACTTTCTGTGCTAGGTTTTATCATTAATGTCTGAAATGTGGCGATTATTTTAATGTAGAGTTACTAATCTGATCTTACCTTTTAGATGTAGACCGTATATTGTGATACTGGTAACATGTTTGTAAGAACATACATATGAGCCGCGCCATGACAAAATCAACATAATGGGTTTGCGACCAGCATGGATCCAGACCAGCCTGCGCAACCGCATGTATTTTAAGATTTATTGAATGTATAGTTGTATTTTATGTACATGTATTGGATTAGACTTTAAATAAACTAATAAAATAATGATTATTTGCAATTCTTATCTGATCCTGCTGAATTTGTAAAATGCGCGTTTCAAGCTCCCTTTTCCAGGACTCTATAAATCTAGGAAAATTAAGATTGATGTTTCTTAATTTATTCAGCCATAAGTACAAAGCCGGTTCAGTCTGCAAGAATGGCTTTCATGAATCTCCATACTGAAAAATTTATTTCGGTTCCAGCAGTATAGAGGTACAATGTTGTTAACAGTTGCCACATTTACATGATTGCTTTAAATTAACTTAAAAGGTCATTCAAAGTTTGTAACACAATTTATCATACCGTTTTTCAATCTTCATTTAAGTTATATTTGCTCGAGATGGAAAAGTTATCAGTTCCATAGGTGCACCGAAGAAAACCTTTGTATCGTAATTTTAAATCAAAAGAAGTCCAACAAAATAATGCCACATTACACATGTTTCACTTTCATGGAAATAAAAAGAATAACACTATGTCTATAAACTCAACAGTGAGTGACATAAAAATACATACGTAGGATTTCTTTTTCAGTTGATAGCTTAATTTATTTCTCGAAGCGAATCTCAATTTTGGTCACAAATATGCTTTTTGATGCACCTTTCGCATTAACATCATAAAAAATAATACAAATGATGACAAGAAAAGCATTGATGCAAAGCATCAAAGGCGACACCAAAAAAAATGATCAAGTTTTGCACCTAAATACTTAACAAAAGATGTGTTCTTTATAGCAGTACCATTACATGTGACCTGGAGGTTAGGACCCTGTTTAAGTTGAAAGTTGAACCCAAAAGAATAGACTCTGTCTTGCCAAGATGCAAAGACAATGTATAGTCAATTAACCAATCTTATAAGACTCATGTCATCAGAGAGAATATCTTCAGATTTATTTTACCAGATTCAAGGATACCTGAGTCTTCAGCATATAATAAAATCTTTTTGCTTAGGGTTGCAGACATGTCATTGACATATATTAGACATAAAGGAGGACCTAAAATGGACATCAAGGGGACAGTTATAAACCACAACATATTTACCACTAGTTTGATTTGTGTCCTTAAACTTCTGATGTGTACAGAGCATAGTGAATTAAACTCAGAAATATTATAAGTCTCATCATATCAATATACTAAGATATACATGTTTGCACATAACATTAATGGTTCCCAGTTTCTATTAAATAAATATGAAATCCTAACATTAACATTAACATTGGTACTAATGGATGGAATTCAAAATCTAGAAGAAAGAAAACTATAATGTATAAACTCTATTATAGATACTATTTTTAGCCAGTTAACACTGGGTATAAACACCTTTAACCTGTAGACCAATCAATAATACATGTATTATCATTTATAAATTTAAATGCAAGTCTCATCCATCATAACTGTTGGTCTTTAAATACAGAAATACACATTATATCCATATACTAAGATACACATGTATGCCCAATAAATAAATAATTCCCAGTTAACATTAAAAATAAATATAACATCCTATTAACATTAATACTTGGATGGAATTCATAATCTTGTAGAAAGAAAACTATAATGTATAGTATAAAAGTAAAAAAAAATCTCAAAAACAAACTGTAGTCTATATCATATAATAAAGGTTGACTTATGTGAGTGTCTAAACATTAAATGCATATCTCTTACAGTAAAAAAGACTGTCCCTCTTTTAACATTCCATAAGTTTTTACTATATAACTAACTGCATATATATCAAGTGTTTAGAATTGATAACTTCAGGATGTTATCCCTTCTCTGTTTTAATATATGGACATGAGCACCTATATGCATAGCTTTAATTTTCTACCTTTCATTTTACCAAAGGTTATTTTATTAACAATTTATATACACACACATAGAAAATAATAATTAGTTTCACACAGTGATTTGTAGTTTCCTGTAGCAGAATACTTGCAGGTATGTACTCACTGAACAAACTAGAAAAATCCCATCTAAAGTGAAAATTGCACGAAACTGAAATCTGACTGGCAAAATAAAACATATGGAAAATAACCTGAACTACAGGTAGTACCGAGATGTTCCGATTGTGTTTAACCTCTCTTCACAATGCATGTATGTTACTTTAAAAAATCATTCAGACCATATAATTATTAGTCTATTTCATATGACAAATGAGACATAAGTGTTTTAAAGTTAAATTCTTTATGACATTTAACGAAATATACGAAGTTTCCCCCCCCCCTTTCCTTTCTCCTCCCCCTTTGCCTTTCTCATTTCCACCCACGATAGTTTTGTTTTTCGATAAAAGTCTGGCGACAGATTCGCGTGCCGTGATCCCATTTTGTTACTTAAAGGATGATAAATAAGAATGAGGATACACAGGGGGAATGTGTTTATTAATAAAATACTATTTCAAAATTATATATTTCAACCAATAGAAATGAAAAATATATATAGAGGATATTTGTTTGTTTGTGTGTAAGATGAAATTTTATTTCATCGAGTGGGCTTTAAAAACAGTATTCTCACGAGTGGCGAAGCCACGAGTGAGAATACTGTTTTTAAAGTTCACGAGATGAAATAAAATTACATCTTACACAACAAACAGACAAATTTTCTTTTTATTTTATGCTTAAAAACAAGTTAAAACGAAATTTCCATAATTTTAACGTTAATATTAAAACTGTTTGCCCCATTGAGAGCCCCATTTATTCGGAATTTCTCATTAAAAAAAAGAAGTCTTGAGCTGAAAAATAAGTCCGCCAATCAACATTAAATGACGGTGATATTTATTAATTTTATTAAAAAATATGAATGATCGCTTGTTTTGATAATAAAACCAAACAATTCTTGTAGGAGAAAAGTCCAACCATCCATCCATATTTCTGTTACTTAGTGCGAATTTTATATTAGACCTGGCTTTGTAAATTGTAAGCGGCAGCCATTTTTTAAAGTTGTGTATTTCATGGAGGAAAATAATTGTGTAAGATTCAGAGGGATATAATTTGGATTTGTTAGTCATACACATTTTTAAAAGAAAGAAAACTTATTTGAGGATTGTAACAGACAAAAAATAAGTGTTGACAGATGTGAAAACATTCAGAAAAGGAGCTAGGAAAATGGAAAACTTGGAAACCTGCTCAAGAACGCTGGGTTGATTTAACTTATTCTTCGAGTTTTGACTGTCAATGCTTTCAATTTTTCATAAAGCATACGGCAGTTATTGCTCGTAGGATACTTTAATATGCCCAAATGTCATCAAGAGCAGTTTTGCATGGGGAAGGAATATATTTTTGAGACTGTCAAAATGAAACAAAAAACGAAATTTGGTGATTGGAATTTCATGAATTTGAATGAATAGAAGTAAGTTTTCTTCTTTTTATTACTTTTGACATTTAAGTTATTTATCAATTTCAGTTTTGCTTTTTCTTTAAACAGCCTGACATTGTCAGAATTGTCAGCAAAAATAAAATTGAGGTACCACATGGGGAAAATCTTAAAAAAGTAGTTTCGTCATTGAAAAGAGTGAAATTATATTTTGATAATTTTCACTGTGAAATTACCAAATATAATTTTCACGGATAAATCAGTAATCCACTAAAAAGCATAAAATAAACAGTTTATATCAATGTTTACCACGTACAAGTATGTTGCATACTTGGTTATCGACTAAATCGAACGTTTACATTAAACAAATACATGTATTAGACGAATGTCAAGGTTCTTTAAACGCATGACGGTAACTCATTAACGGAAGGATTCATGCCTAGACAAAACAACAATTGTGACTAGACAGAGTTACTTAAATAAAAAAAAAACTTATTTTTTCTCCTTTAATTTTCTTTTTGAAGTTTTGTTTGAACCGTTGTTTTTCAGTTGTTTTTGACTTTAGAAAAAGTTAAAAAAAAAAGTAAAGTGTTGCATTTGCCTGGTGATGGCTCTTTTTACATATAAATATTTGTGTATGTTAAGGTTTACCATGGTAATAGGCACCATAAGGAACTGTAAAATTGACAACATAGGACAGTTATATGTCTTCAAGGTTACCTGTATGCAAAATTTAAATGAAATTTACCGTGTGGTTTATGAGTTATGTTTAGCAGGGCTTATCTTCAGAAATGATGAAACACTAAATAATCTGTAATATCATCATTATAAAAAATGTTTTTCTATTGCTCATTGTTGAGAAAAAAATAATAACATTCAGGTAACAAATTACACAAGCAAAATGTTTGTTTCTAAACAAATGTTCTTAATATAAATAAAAATGTTACCCTACCCCATCCACTTTAAACAATAATTTTACCATTTCCCTATCTAATATGCCTTATTCAAAATATCCCTAAAATTTACCATAATGTGGTGCTGTTTTCAAAGCCCAAGTTTTCTTAAAGATATATTGGTTGATCATGCAAAACATAAAATACTTTTACCGTGTAGTTTTTATTTTATTAATCTTTGAAAATATCTGGTATCATATTTGCTATATCATATTTGCATTATTTAGCAAAAATAATTATATAATTTAAATCAAACCCTTTTTTCTTCCATAAGGGATCAGGGAGATACATAAATAATGATAAAAAGAAAAAAAGAAAGAAAAAAAGTTGCCCCTTCTGGGGTTTGAACCCACGCCCCTTAATTTCAATGTAGTTGGCAAGTGTTTCTAGCCTATTTGAATACTCTTCAAAGTGGAGGTAATGCATAATCCATGGTCTACCTTAGTACATGTAGTAGATAAAACAACGATTGAATTAAAATCTTCTTATTATCACGATGCCATGTGTCTTTGGTTAAATTGTACTGCATTGTACAAGAAAAATTTCACAATTCAAAGTCTCAAACAAAAGCTGATCGGGTCGAATATGTATTGTTTATCGTTGTTATCGCCAACTGAAACATCTTTAAATCTAAACATTTACAGACACAGTGACTATTTTCTT